ATTAAAGCTTAAAACTGCACTAAGACTTTTGGGCCAACCTCTATACTGTTTTAAGGTTTATGGAATTTGAATGCAGGTCTTCCTGAATCCTAGTCTAACAGTCTATCCACTAAATCAATATCAGTAGATATTGTTGGATTGGTTGCTCTGTCTTGGGGGTCTCTGAGAGATATCTCTATATAACTGAGAAATAGTTTGGGGGAGCTTGGTATCCCTCAACCCCACACCATCAACTGAACTCAACAAACATATATTGTTCACCCAAGCCTTCCCCACCTAAGCAAAATTGTGTTTATCAACCACTCAGTCCCCATCTGAAGAGTACGTGACCTCACCTCTGGCTGCCAAGGTGACTGTCCTCAAGCACAGGTCTGACCATGTCACCCTCCTGAGCAATCAACTCAAGAGTTTTATTATCTCCAGGATGAAAAGTCCTCTGTTTGGCATTTCAAGTTCTTCATAACCTGGCCCTTCCTACCTTTCCATTCTTCTGACTCTTTACCAGGAGTGGGGAACCTATGGCCTCAAGGCCACATGTGGCCTTCTAGGTCCTTGGGCCTTGGGCCTTTTGACTGAGTTCAAATTTTACAGAATAAATCCTTTTATTAAGGGGATTTGTTCTTCGAAGTTTGGATTCAGTCAAAGGGCCGCCCTTGATGACCTAGAGGGCCACATGTGGCCTTGAGGCCATAGGTTCCCAACCCCTGCTTTATACCCTTGCACCCATTCTAATTTCCAGATACACTAGCTCACTTACTGCTTCCTCCAATAAGACACCCCTATCTCCTGACTCCACATTTTTGCACTGGCTGTGCCTCCTGCCTGGAATATTCTCTCTTCTCACTTCCACCTCTGAGCTTCCTTGGCTTCCTTCAAGTCTTAATTAAAACGTCACCCTCTAAAGGAGGCTTTTCTCAGGTTGTCTCCTGCTACCTCAGCTGCTAGAGCATTCCCTTCTGAGATTAACTTCCATCTACTCTGTACATATCTTGTTTGGATCTGGTTATTTGTGTGCTGATGCCACCATCAGAATAGGGGTTTTCTTGTATCACTGACCCCTTTTGCAATGTGTTGAAGCCTATGGGGACCTCCTCAGAATAATGAATAATATAAAATGCACAGGAAAACAAAGGAAACCAATTATATGGAAATACAGTTATCAAAATAATTTTTTTTAATTCTTAGTCCCCAAGTTTAAAACCTCTGAATTCATATGTAAGCTCTTTGATTGCAATAACTGGGGGGAGATTTTGGCGGGTTACCTCTTTTTGTATTCCCAGAGCTCAGCAGGATGACTAGCATATGGTAAGTGACTAATGAACGTTTTCTGATTGATATTGATTGCCCAAAGTGGCTTTCCTCATCCTTTTTTCTTGACTTTCCCGGCCTCCCACTGAAAATTACTAGCCCTATGTTCCATCTCCAGAGGGATAGTCAGTCGGTCAACTAGCATTTATTAAGTGCCTACTGTGTGACAAGCACCAGACTAGACTAAACTTGGTTTTCTCTAAGGATGAGCCAGATAATGTAACAAATGAATCCCAACCCACCCTATCCTAATAGCTAACAATGTGAAAAAAGAGATAGCTAGGCAAAGTCTTGACAAATTTGGCTGAGGAAGGCATCTTGGGGGGTGGGGTGAGATGTAGTGTGGAACCCTCAAATTACTTCATGTGGGCAATTATAATATAATAATAGCATTTATGTAGTGCTTTTTAAGGTCTGCAAAGAGCTTTACAAATAATATCTCATTTTATCTTCACAACAACCCTGGGAGGTAGATGCTATTATTATCCTGGTTTTACAGATGAAAAACTGAGGCAAACAGAGGTTGTGACTTTCCCTAAGCAGGGTCATGCAGCCAGAAAGTATAATAGGTTGGATTTGAATTCAGGTCTTCCTGACCCCAGATCGAGGCCTCTATCTGCCCTGCCTCCTAGCTGCTTACTTTTCCTCTGTATGAAACCAGCCCTTCTTCATACATCCTCCCTGCCTTACTCTCTCCCAACTGCATAGGAATGGAAGAACCCAATGTATGTTCGCCCTTGTAAGGAAATAAGTTGTCTTCTGTGAGCTTTGGGATGACTTGTGTGTTGAGTTGAATTCGTCTGATTTTTGAGGTGAAAGGAACACTCACCTCTTCGCCTTGCTATGTCTCCTTGTTTGTCCTTCTGGTATGAGATTCAGTATGGGTGGAACACCAAAAACCAGCAATGCCATCTGCAGAGGTCCTGATTGGCTAAGAGTAAGCCTGAGACAGTGAAACGGATCTATGGATTCCATCCGGAGAACCCAGGTTACCAACTCCAATCCCCAAAGCAGTTTGGTTCAGAAGACCAAGTCTTGTCTGAGTCGCCTGGACACTCAAGTCTTCTATGTAGAGAACTGTGGACCATCTGAGCTGGCACTAGGGAATTGTAACTAGGCTGAATAGCTTAGGAAGTTTAGAGACAAACTAATTTAGGAGCTAGGTAGATTTATTTGTTGGACATTTCTAATTACCTTACTCTGGTGTATTATTTCTGAATTTGCATATTCTCTTTCCCCTGGTGAATAAGCCCTGAAAAAGTCTCTTGGGGTATGTGGAGAGAGCTGGAGAGGAAACGGGGTAGAAGCAAGTGAAAAAAGCTGGTAACAGAGAAAGAACATTGGGGGAGGAGGGGGGTGTGGGGGAATGGTGCTGCTGCAAGAGAAATGGTCACTGCAGTTGAAGTATGAGGACTCAAGATGTCAAAGTGTCTTAGGAGCCAGAAGAGTCAGGAAGCATAGTACCTCAAGTAGTGAGTTCAATGATTAGGCAAATTTAGTAGATAATGGAAGGTCAAAACCCTAGGACTATAGACAAAGTCCCCTGGGGAGCTGGTACCCAGGAACATCTAGCCAGGTCCGAGGCTGGATGTTTTATGCTCCCTTCCTCCAACTTTTTTTTTTATTTTACGAGTAATTTGGTGTTTGTCTTCTGTGTTTTAGCACCCGATAAAGTCTGTGTTTGCCCAGGTCAAAAGATTACAGCTCTTATTGTTCAGGCCAGCTGCATCTACCTTACAACAGGAACTCAAATAGAATATAGCTTTTTAACTAACTTGTTTCCTTTCTGACAGTCAGGGCCTCAAATACCTGGCAAAACCTAGCCTGGAGACTGACCACAATAAATGAGCAAAAAGAAGGGGAATTACTCTGTCAATTGGGGGAGGGGAAAGGAACATGCTCCATCGCCCTCCTTTTTAGCTTTGTTCATGCCCTAGGGGAGAAGTAAGGACCCCCATGTGCCCAGGAAGTCACAAGGCAATGGGGGTCCCACTGTTGGACACATACAAACCCCAACCATCTCATTTGTCCTTTTCTAAAGCTGAAAGTAGCCTATGGAGCCTTCTCTGAAGGGAGTAGCAGCTACTCACGTTCCCTTCTTCCCCGTGTTCTAGCAGAACTATCATTTAAGTTGTCCCTGACAGAGAAGCACACACCCTTAGCCCACTCAGTCCACACAATCAGCTTCGACAATCCACACATGGGAGAAAGTCTGCCTATCCTACCCTCCATTCTCTTTGGCCAAGGCTGTGAGACAGGGAGTTCCAGAGACACCATCTGAGAGCCCCCACAAGAAGGACAGATGCACAGTCTTTGTCTTCCCACTGTTCCTAAGTTCCCTTTCCCATTTGGCTATAAGGTTGGGATTTCCCACAGCTGTCCAAGCCTAGAGAAAAAGCAGAGCTGCCCTTCTTCATCCCACCCAAGGCCCTGAGACCTCAATGCTAGGAGCTGGGGGAGAATGGGAATAATAGTCTCCTAGCAGTTTCCTGGGCATTGAGCACACAACTTCCTTATTAAAAATATCCTTTATTGTTTAAAAAAAAAAAGCTCAGATTTCTTAGAAACACCTGCATGCAGTGTTGCTGGGTCAGGACAAAACAGGAGAATGCCACAGGGCACAAATAACAAGACCAGAAAGCATAGGCTGCCTGACTGTCTCTTCCCACAGTCTGTGGCTCCACAATGGTGGTCACGTCTATGCTCCAGGAATGTTCCTCACCTTCCTTCTGACTGTTACAGTCAAGGCCAGTCTGCCCCTCCTCCCGAAGAAGACATTCTCTGGTCTTGGTGGTGCCCGTTTATCTAGCCCCTCCTCATTCCCCGGTTGCTAAGCGAGGGGCCCTCCTCACTTTCTCTCTTCTCTTCACCAAAACCAAAGCTCCCTAGAGGCACCAGTCTGAGGTCAAGACCACAGAAGTGCTAGAAGGCAGTCAGACTTACAGAACTGCCCACACCCATCTAGGAATTGAGTAGCCAAGTGGGCTCCAGTTGTCCATTACTACAGGAGTTCTGTATCATAGGCAGATAGCCAAATACTCCCCTGAGAGGGCACTGGGGATATCATTCATATACTCTCCGTCGTACCAGACACCACCTTCAAAGACTGGGAAGGAGTCAGAAGATAAGCTGCTTTGACACTCCCCAGTTACAGGGGTGTGGAACCACAAAGCTCAATCTTTAATGGTGCTGATCCCAGTGTACATCCTAAGGTCAAAATGGTGAGGTCCAATGGCCAGGGTGTCCTGGGTTCCAGGAACCTGGATTCCCTAGCACTTCCACAAGAAATGCAGAGCTCCCCTCACCTGCTCTGACAACAGCAGCCCAGTCCAGTGCACAGCCCCCACTCCCCTGAAATCTCTGACACCCATCTATCCATCCCTCTCAGCTTGTTCCCACAGACTGAGTATTTTTAGCCATCTTAGCGGAAATAATTTGCCTGGCTGATGACAAAAGACTTATACAGTGTTGGGGGACAGAAGGCAGCTGAAGAAACTCCTAGTGTTCAGGTGAAATGTCAAGAAGTTGTCATGCAAAATAATAACTCAAACCTTTGGAGGCAAGAGGAGTACATTTTCAATGAAACCCTTTAAAAGAAGGAGCGACTCTCTTCTTGCTTTCTCTTGGCTTCCGGGTTTTGGGTAGGAATTCATACAACACCGGCACAGAACTAAATTCCATAGGAAGACAGGTGGTGGTAAACACAGAGAAAAGGAGATTTTTATATCACCGGATAATCACATTTTCTATTTCTCTATTTCTCTAGCCCGTTCCCCCACAGAGCTCAAAGCTTTTTGCAAACCCTTTCATCTTCCTGCTGCGAGTAGGCGGCAAGCTATTGTTGCCCCGGTTTTTGCAGAGGGGAGAGACTGAGGCACCGAGTAGGGAAGTGCCTGTGATCCAGGCTCACCGGGTGAAGCAGAGGCAGGGCATGCTGACTCCCATAGGGGAGCTAGTTGAAGGAACAAAGAGCACAGGCTCTCCTGAAAAGGAGCCCCAAACCAAAGGAAGGGCAGAAAAAGGGAAGCGCCAGGATACAAAACCGCCAACAATTCTCAGAGCCCTTGCAGGGCAGCAGGTACTGTTGGGGAGGGAGGAGATGACTCCACTACCGCCTCAGAGATTTGCCTTCCCTGGAAATGTTCAAATCTGGCCTTCCTTGCTCTTTGGAAACACTCCCGGGTAAGCGCCCTTCCAGGGAACTCAGGCAAGGCTGATTGGGGAAGCCAGGCTCCCTGAGAAGGGAAAGGTACCCAGTTTGATCGGGGACTGCAGGGCTGAGGAAAGAAGCTGTCTCTCTTCCTTTGTGAAGTCTTCTCCAGGATTTGGCCTTGGATGCTCATCTCACTCCGCCTCACCCTCTACACAGGGTGGAAAGCAAATGCTCCATCCCACCAAGTTCTGGAAAAATAAAATTATGCTTCAGAACACATACACATACATACACACTCACAAACACACACTCATCCACACATAACACTCTCCTCAGCTGGCTCCCCAGCTGATCGAGAAGAGGGGGATTTGAAGAGCTTAGGGCTACAGGTAGAGAGAAAAGGCCACTGGGAGCTACCCAGACCGAAGGCTCCACTATATAAAACAGGGCAGGTTCAAGGACCCTAACTGGGACCCCAATTCACCAAGCTGTCTGAGTCCATTGGCGGCAAAGGATCCTGCGGAAGGCCCTGCGGAAATCCTGGTTGAAAATTGTATAGATGACGGGATTGAGGGAACTGTTGCAATAACCAATCCAGAAAAAGAACTGAAAAAGGCCATGAGGGACCTTGCAGTGCTGGGGGCAGATGGCTCCTAGGCTATAGCTGAAGAAGAAAGGGAACCAGCAGAGGACGAAGACTCCCATCACTACTGCCAGCACAAAAGTGAAGCGCTTTTCTCGGTTCATCTGGGTCCTACGCCTCCATGGCTGCAGCTCTAGGGAGGCAGGTTGTCGGGCCAAGAGCACCTGGCCCCGGAGCGTGGCCAACATCTGGGAGCCCTGGGGAGGCTGAAAGTTTGGGGTTCCTTGGGGAGAAGAGGAAGTTGGAAGGGCTGGAGGCCCACACTCTTCTTCCTCTTCATCTTCTTCTTCCTCCTCCTGCCTATGACTGTCATCCTCTGGCCCCGCAGAGCTCTGGTTGGGAGGCGTGGAAGGTGGGTCTCCAATCTGCTGCCCTCCCTCTCTCTCCCCAGGAGGCTTAGTATGCCCATTGGCCTCACCCACAGCTGAGAGAACAGAGGGTTGCAGCTTAGATATTGCAGCTGCCCCAACAGGGCCAGAGGGCCCAGCGTCCCCATCACCAAGGGCTCGCTTGCCATGGGGACCCTGGCGGTTACGGCGTTTGGCAATTAGGTAGATCCGCAAATAGACCAGGATCATGATGAGGCAGGGTGCAAAGAAGGAACCAATGCTGGAGGAAAGGATGTACCAGGCCTCCTCATTAAGTTTACACTGGGGCCGGCCTCCAGTTTTCTTGCCCTTGTCACCCTTGTAGATGAGTGGGGGCAGTGAGATGAAGGCAGCAATAAGCCAAACAGTGAGAATGATGCCCTTAATCCTTCGGGGCGTCCTCTTGGAGTTGTACTCCAGGGCTCGGCTCACTGACCAGTAGCGGTCCAGACTGATGGCACAAAGGTGCACAATGGAGGAAGTGCAGAAAAGGACATCCAAGGCCAGGTAGACCTCACACCAGGTGTGTCGGAAGTACCAGTATCCCAGCAGTTCATTGGCCAGTGAGAAGGGTATGATGAGGGTGGCCACCAAGATGTCAGCTGCAGCCAGGGAAACCAGGAACAAGTTCTGTGGGGCTCGAAGGGAACGGCTAGTCAACACGGCCAGGATGACTAGTGCATTGCCAAAGATGGTGAAAAGGATGAGAAAGGTGATGACGGCTGCAATGGCTGCCGTGGCCTGCACAGAGTAGGGCTCTGGGCTATCCATAGCAGAGGACTGGAATAGTCCAAAGGGGATTGCCAGGGAAAAGCTATGAGTGCCAGCCCTGCCGCCTTTCGAGGGACAATCTGGAGTTAAAAGCAGGACGTCCACCAGTGGGCGGGGGGCCGCTGGAGAAGGGGGCAGTCTCTGGGGAAGGCACCCCAGGGGCTAAGCCAGAGACCTGGAGGACCAGCCCATTCTGTCTTGGGCCGAAGCGCAGCATCCAGCCCCCATGACTGGCTAGAGGTCGGAGGTGGGGTGGAGAGCAATAAGGGCACAGTTTCGTTCAGTAGCTGCGGCTCTACATCCTCCTCTGGGCTTAGGCTGCTGGTTTCCCTCTGGTCTGCCCCAAAGAAGTTTGTGAAGTTCCTGGGGGCTTCTACCCCTTCCCTTTTGGGGTGCCCCTGCGGTGCGCTCTACTCCTGAAGAAAGTTGCGACCTCCGGGCGTGAGGCTGTCCCAAGCCAAGATCTGGTGGGCTAGGGGTAGGTGGGCAGTGAGGAGGAAGCTCCGAGCATCTCCTGCTCCTTCACAAAAGCGCTGTGAGGGGTGAAAACTCTCTCCTTTCCAACCCTGAGCGGAACTGGAACCGTGATGTCAGGCGAGCAAGGCAGGCTTGGGAGGCAGGCTTGGGAGGCAGGCAGCCCCGGGCAGGGGGAGTGGAAGGGAGGAGACGGAGTAGGGGAGGAGACGTGGAGGGGAGGGGAGGGGAGGGGAGGAAGGAGTTGGGGCGGGGAGGATGGGGGCAGGAAGAGAGGGAGGGAAGCAGGGATGGAAGAGGTGGAGAGAAGGTGAGCACGGCCAAAGGGCGGACAGCCGGGGAGCCCGCAGCAGCGTAGCCTCCTTTCGGGGAGCCCCGCTGCCTCCTGCGCTCTTCCCCTCACCTTTATTTTTGGAGAGCCACTGCCGAGGGGTCCTAGAGGGAGGGGGTTGGGTGTGGCGAGCTTGCGTGCAGTGGTGGGGCTCCAGGAAGGGGAGAGATGCGGGGAAGACTGTTCGAGGGGAGTGGGGATGTCAAGAGTGCCGGATGGCAAGCATTACATAAGAGGGGGCTCAGGACGTGTGGCTGCAGAGGTCAGTCAGTTGAGGTAGGGCGGGAGGATGTGTGGGGTTGGCTGGATTGGGGAGAGGGGCCGGGAGCGAGGAGCCAGGGCTGGGCCATCTATGCGGGCTGGGCGGCCCCGTGCAAGGGGCGTGGGGAGTGGGGGGAGCCGCTTGAAGCGTGGGGTGTGGTGGGACGAAGGGGTGGCTTGCGCTTGCAGGCGGAACCCATCTAGCCTCCCCCAGGGGCCTGGGGAGGGGGGCGGAGAGGCAACCAGTAGCCTACTGCGTTGCCTCAGCTCTAGGGATCCAGAAGGCAGCCCCCAAAGACCACCCGACTTTTGGCACGGAGACCACCACTACCCGCCCCCCCTAGGCCGGGCACCTCCTCGTGGAGCGCAGGCTGAGCCCAAGACCCCCTTCGATCGCCGGTTAGAGAGCGCCCCCTGCTGCCTTCGGAGCGCCCAGGACCCCCGCCAAGGCTAGGGCTCCCTCCAAACACCCCTACCGACGGCAAAGGGGGAAGATTTCATCTGTTCTTGGGCATCTAAATGCGTCCCCGCCCAGAAAAGCAACAGGAGAGATGCCCAGGTTTTCGGATCGGCAGCGAAGTCGCAGCAGCAAGTTTTTTCTCTCTCCCTCAGATGGGGTCTTACGATGCAGAGAAAAAGCAGCTCATTTATTTTCCCTGGGTGATCTTTCTTCCTCTCTTCCCCAGCTCATGCCTCAGTTTCCCTTCTTATTCAGGCCCTCCTGCCCTCTCCCCCAGGAGTCTGAGACATACACTCTGTTCCCAGCCTGAGGACAAACGAGATAAGACATGTGCTGATCTGGTCCCATAGAAACAGCCCTAATAATTCATAGTAAGAATAGGTGAAGAGAAGGCTGACCTGGCATCCTGTGTCCCTCTGACCCATGGACAATTGTATCTGCAGATGGAAGGTGATGTGGAGAAAAATTAATAGGATGGATTCTTTCTTTGTCCTGCCCCCTTCCTAGAAGCAGGGTCAACATCACTCACTCAGTAACTCCTCCCCCCCCCATACCACCTATAGGTGAGGGAGAGAAACACCCTGCAGCTGTAGTCCCCTGCAATCTCTGCAAAACACTTTAAACAGCTCTGGGAGAGTCTTAGTTCCAGTGCTAGAGACTAATAGACTGGAGGGGAAGAGTTAAAAGAATGTCTTTAACTTGATATCTCCAGCCCCAACACACACACACACACACACACACACACACACCAGCCTTCCCCATTCCATCTATCCCTCAGCCCACCACTATATTCAGCCTGACACTGCCTGTCCCTTCTACCGCTCAGGCTGAGCCTTCGGATCACTGATGATTAGGTACCAATCCTGGTACTGAAAGCTGTAACTTTGGCTTTGGGGGAAAGTGGCAGACTGTACTTTGCCCTAGAGCCAACTCTAGCAACTAGAAACAATTCAGCTTAGCACCTAGTTAGCAAAATAATTTGTTAAAACAAGAAGCCAGCAGATGGCTTTCTTCCTTTCCACCCTCACCCACCACCATGAAAAGCCTCAAGGTTTCCCATTCTATGTCCTTGCTCAAACACACACGTGCACACCTGGGATCTCTCCCACCCCCAACAGTGACTCAACTTGTCTTAAGTTGATTTGAGGGGCCCCTTCTGTGTTGCTTGCCCCAGGCCCCCAAAACTGATGTTACTAGTCTTGCCAGTATCATTGAGATGGAGCTGATGCTGAAGCTGTTGAGGCACCACCTTCTTAATCCTGAGCACCGAGCTTGAGTCTGGACCAGCCTAATCAGTGTGCTTCACGCTACTTCCAGAAGCCCAGCAATGTCTGCCTGAGACAAGAACATGACACTCCTTGTAGAAATAGGCATTAATCCACCAAGAAGAAAGAACACTTCACAGCAGTTCCTGGCCAAGAACCAGATTTCCTCTAGATCCCCTTCTAGGTGGCAACACTAATGTCCAAACTAGAAATTTCTATGAAAGAATAGTTCCTAGCTTACATTTCTATAAGGCTTTCAAGTTTACAAAATGAGAAGCAAACTGGTAGAGGAGATAAAGAGCTGGCCTCAAAGGCAGAAAGACCTTAGTTCAAATCCCATTTCTACCACATACTGGCTGTGTGCCCCAGGACAAGACACTTAACTTCTCACTGTTGTTGTTCATTCATGTCCCACTCCCCGTGACCCCATTTGGGGTTTTCTTGGCAAAGATACTGGAGCAGTTTGCCATTTCCTTCTCCAGCTCCTTTTATAGATCAGGAACTAAGGCAGACAGAGTTAAGTAACTTGCCCAGGGTAACTCAGCTAGTAAGTGTCTGAGCCTGGATTTGAACTCATGAAGATGAGTCTTCCTGATTCCAGACTGGGCACTCTATCTACTGCTCACCACCTAGCTGCCCCTCACTACTGTCAGCAAGTGTAAATTGCAGAGATGGTGATGACCTGAAATTGATGGAGGGATCTTCCCCACCTGGGAGTTTCCTATACCAATGAAATCACAGGTTCTAGCCTAGTTTACAAAACATTTTGCTTATAACTACTTCCATGAGGTAGGTATGGAGGAATGAATTGTTCCCTTTTAATAAGTGATGAGAGGTTGTTGCCCTGGAAGGCAAAGCTCAAGACTTTCCCTACAGTTGAAGCTGAAGGTAGCACAAAGTCTGTTCAGTTAATATAAGACACTAACAACTATGCCCACTTGAACTGTTAAAGGTGATAGGATACCTTGCCATCACTACCTGTAGTGGAGGTAAGACAGTCTGGGGACCCACAAAACATCTGCTCCTAAGAAGGGCACTACCACCACCATCCTCCCAATCACCTCAGGACCATCCATAAATTTCCTCTCCCTCATTCATCAAATTAGGTGTCAAAGTCTGTGGATTCTACCTCTACAAATTTTTCTAATCTACCTCTCACTGCCCCCACCCTTGTTCAGGGTCTCATCACCTCACATCTAATTTACCATCTCCCCTACCCCAATCTATCCGAACTCCACTTTACCCTTCTCAAATTATCTTGATTTACTTAGAAACCCCCATAAAATATAAGTTTCTTGAGGGGCAGAGGCTAGGTTGTTTTCATATTTCCAACATCTAGCACAGTGCTTTGCAGATGCAGTAGGTATTTAATAAGTGTATAGAATTGATGTGCAATTAACATTTGGAGTGCCCAGAACCCCCGCCTTTATGTTGAAACTCAAACATGACAGTTCAGAACTTATTTCTTAATTCAAATTTTATTTAAAGTTTCCTTAAAGGAATGGCAAGAAAGCTTGGTTTCTCCCTTTGGCCATTGGTGGCTAGAGACAGAAAGGTTATCAATGCTCACACGAGCACCATCTTCTGGGCCTTGAACTCCTTCCACCATCACCTGTAGAAAGATAGATATTCAAGGTCATTAAAAAAATGGACAAAATCAATTATGTTGGTCTACATTTTAAAGCCCTTCTTCCTTTACCATCTCTTTAGTCTCTTCTCTTAAATGGTACCAAACATTTTTAGAGAATCATAAGTACCCTTGAGATACCTCGTGGTTAAAGGGATCTACATTCTCTCTGTACTTTACCACTAAACTCTAAAATAGAACTACGCTAAAAAGAGTAGATAATAAATTCAAGAGTTCAAGACACACCCCCTCTTGGTTTTTTCCTCCCAGGAGATATTCCTTTAGACAACATGCTTAATTATCTACTTCTTTCTGATTCAGTTATTCCTAAATGGACCAAAACCCACTTATTTCCAACCTCCAAGAAAATGGAAAACTATTTTCTAGTATCCCAAAGGTCCCAAAACTTTGGAGAGTGAAGTCCCAGAACCCATGTCCACAGTTTCCCACCCATCATAGAGAGTGAAATACTTACCTGTATCTTCCGTGGTGCCCGTAGCTTCATTTCTACCCAGCTCCAGGATGAGCTTCGGTGCCCCACACTGGACCAGATTAGATGCCAACCAAACTGAGCCCGAGAGTAGACATAGACACTAATGGTTCCTGTCAAAGAAAGCCACCTCCTTGGAAGGAGATCCGAATCAGGGACTCTTAGAGATTGCACACATTAGGAGAAGCCAAGTTTGGAATGGTTCCATTCACTGTATAAACTTGGACACTAGTGACCCTTTGTTGTCTGTCTCTGTCCATTCTACTTCATGAAATATGTGAGGAGGAGGGAATATATATTTTATATATATATATATATATGTTTATATTACATAAGATAGCAAGAAGCCATAGAATATATCTACATACATACATATGTTTATAGAGTATATGTTATCTGTTTGTGGAGTGTGTATATAGTATATATTTATAGAATCATGTTTATAGAGTATATATATATTTTATGCATACTACATATTTACTAAGTGTATATCCTATGTATATATCTGTGTACATATATAAATATGTGTATATATTATGTGTGTTACATGAATTGTATTATAAATATTAATGTATATATATGTCTGTATATGTGTATACTCTATGCCTCTTGCTATCTTATGTAACATAGGCACCACTCCCTGCCCCCTTATTTCATGGAATAGAATGGACAAAGAGACATACATAGATACATATGTTTTGTATTGTGAATATATGTGACAGACATAC